CTCCCTCTCCCACTCCCCCTGCTTGTGTTCCCTCTCTCGCTTTGTCTGCCTCTGTCAAATAAATGAATAAAATCTTAAAAAAAAAAAAAAAAAAAGAAATGGAAAGACATTCCACGCTTGTGGATTGGGAGAATAAATACTGTTAAAATGTCTATAAAGAAATCTACAGGTTGAATGAAATCCCTATAAAATACCAACAGATTTTTCACAGAACTAGAACAAATAATTCTAAAATTTGTATGGAAATGCAAAAGACCCCCAAATAGCCAAAGCAGTCTTGGAAAGGAAGCAAAACGGGAGGTATCACAGTCCCAGATTTCAAGATATACTACAAAGCTATAGTAATCAAAGTACTATGGTACTGGTAAAAAAGATCAATGGAACACAATAGAAAGCCCAGAAATAAACCCATGATTATATAGCCAATCTTCAACAAAGGAGGCCAATATGCAATGGGAAAAACAGTCTCTTAAAAAATGGCATTGAGAAAACTGGACAGCTACATGCAAAGGGATGAACCTGGACCACTTCTTACACCATACACAAAAATAGACTCAAAATGGATTAAAGACCTAAATATGAGACCTGAAACCATAAAAATCCTAGAAAAGAGCACAGGCAATAATTTCTCTGACATTGGTCATAACATCTTTCTAGATATGTTTTCTGAGGCAAGGGAAGCAACAGCAGAAATATTGGGATCACATCAAAGTAAAAAACGTCTGCATAGCAAAAGAAACAATAAAACTAAAAGCCTTCAGAGTGGGAGAAGATATTTGCAAACAACATATCTGATAAAGGGTTAGTATCCAAAATACATAAAGAACTTCTACAACTCTACACCCAAAAAACAAATAATCCAATTTAAAATGGGCAGAAGACATGAACAGACATTTTTCCAGAGAAGACATCCAGATGGCCAACACTTCCAGACACATGAAAGGATACTCACATCACTCATTGTCAGGGAAACCACAGTGAGATACCACCTCACACCTGTCAGAATGGCTGATATCAAAAAAAACAAGAAACAAGTGTTGGGGAGGATGTGGAGAAAAAGGAACCCTCATGTACTATTGGAAAACAGTATGGAGGTTCCTCAAAAAAATTAAAAATAGAACAACCAGTAATTCCACTACTGGATATTTACCCAAAGAATACAAAAACACTAATTCGAAAAGATATATTCACCCCTATGTTTATTGCAGCATTATTTGCAATAGTCAAATTATGGAAGCAGTACAAATGTCCATTTATAAATGAGTAGATAAGGAAGATGTGGAATAATATACACAATGGAATATTATTCAGTCATAAAAAGAATGAAATCTTGCCATTTGCAACAACGTGAATGGATCTAGAGAGTATAATGCTAAATGAAATACACAAAGACAAATACTCATATGGGAATTTAAGAAATAAAACAAATGAAAAAAGAAAAAAGAGACCAAAAAAACTACAAAATAGACTCTTAACTCTAGAGAACAGATGGTTATCAGAGGGGAGGGGATGGGGGATGGGTGAAATAGGTGAAGGGTATTAAGCGCACACTTATCTTGATGAGCAATGAGTAAGGTATGGAATTGTTGAATCACTATATTGTACACCTAAAACTAAATATAACATTGTGTGTTAACTAACTGGAATTAAAAAAATAAACTGCAAAAAACAAAAAACAAAAACGTCTGCTTTGCGAAGGCGGGAGCTGATTGCCCCAAGGTCTTCAGGGAGCTATCTTTGATCAGCAGAGTGTAGCCTTGCTTAGACCAGATGCTCTTAGATGGTCCTCACAGACTCTGTGTTCACAGTTTAATGTTCCCTTGCTATAGTTGTTTCTTCATACGCTTTCATGTTCAGCCCCCAGTGGAGCCCCTCAGCAGCTGAGCAACTGAGTTCTGATGGGCAAGAACATATGAGATGGTGCCATCCTGACACAACTTACTTCATTCTTCTATCAAAACTTTACTTCTGGGGCGCCTGGGTGGCTCAGTCAGTTGAGCATCTGCCTTCGGCTCAGGTCATGATCTCAGGGTCCTGGGATCGAGCCCCGCATCGGGCTCCCTGCTCAGCGGGGAGTCAGCTTTTCCGTCTCCCTCTGCCCCCACCACTTGTGCTCTATTTCACTCACTCTTTCTCTCTCGAATAAATAAAATCTTTAAAAAAAAAAAAGTCTACATCTTTTTTTTCTCTTTGTCATATACAAGTGGATTAAAACAGCTTCACCTAAGTCATAAGCAAGTGGGTTTGAAGTCCTGTCAAACAAATACACAACAAGGGAGTAGCTGAGAGGACCCACAGTGGGTTGCTGGGCTCCCTCATCTTCAGGCTGCGCCTCTTTAGTCACGGGGACCCCCTTGAATACGTGCAGTGCTCCTGGGGCAGGAGGAGCATGCCTGAGCCCTGGCGAGCATGACACTGCTGAGCGGCATGGTAGCCTGGATGGGTGTCTGGTGATGAGAAGGCGTTGGTAGAGGTGGTTGCCGGAGAGGCCTCTCAGCAAATGTGCATTTCTTTATCCCTGTGTGCTCAACCTTTGAATTGGTTTGTCTTCCTCTCTGCCAGGGAGCCCTCGGGTCTCTTCTCCCTTCTTTCTTCCCATGGGGCTTTAGGCTTTTGGCTGTCTTGTGCCACAGACTCCCCTGCCCCTGTCAGTGGACTGTGTCTTCTCCCTGATCTTTGATCTTGGCTTGCCCTCTGTCCCATTATCTCCCTTCCTACCCCTCCCACCTTCCCATTGTCTTTCTGTTGGAGCCAGGGGCCCTTTCCATGGCCTTCCCTTCCCTATTTAACCTCCACCAGCCATCTTCACACAGAATCGGCCCTTCAAGGCCTTGGTGCTCTTGGTCTTACTGAGTGCCGCGGGATGTGGGACGCCAGAGGAAGCATAGCACTGTGGTTTGACTTCAGATCCCAGCAAGTTATTTCCCTTCTCTGATCCTTGGTGTTTCCCCATCTGTTAAATAGGAATTTTAATAGTGCTTATTCCTTCATAGGGTGACTGTAAGGGATTAAATGAGTCCATGGGTCTGAAGCACCTCACACAGGGCGGGCACATAATTGGTCAATATACATTAATCACGGTTGTTACTAAAAGCGCAAAGGGAAGGTGTGCCCCCCAGGGCTGGTGTTATAGCTGGGGAAACAGAACATAGCATTTTGAACCCTAGTTTGTCGCACTTTCCAGATAGAGCACGCAGAGGGTGTTAGGGCTGACTGGGACGAAACCGATCTGGAAAAGCTTCCTGCACGAGGCTGAAGGAGGTAGGTTTCTGTGAGGCATTTTAAGATCGCAGTTGCCGTCTGGAAGGAGAGGGGACGCGATGGGTAGAGAAGCACCTGCTCCAACACTCCCTCGCTTCTACAGGCTTCACCCTTCCTTTTCGTCCTGGTGCTCCCCATACATTACATACTCCTGCATCTCAACCTTCTCATCCACAGGGAATTTGCCAAAGAGAGAGAGAGAGTGGAGAACCGGAGAGCATTCATGAAACTGCGGAGGCAGCAGCAGATTGAGCGCGAGCTGAATGGGTACCGCGCCTGGATAGACAAAGCAGGTGAGGCATGGCGGGCTGCACAGATGTCCCTGCAAACAGCCCCTTGCCCCACCCCGTCCGCTTCCATTCACAGGGGCAGCCCTGGCCAGAGCACAGAGAAGCTCTGGATGTCTCACCAGCTTTGTGCGTTCCCTGCTGGTCCCTCTTCCTTCCTCTGGGGTCTAACTGTCCCTGTTCTACCAAACACCTTTGTGAGGCCTGGAAGGTGAAGTGAGTGAAAGGTAACAGAGCCCAGTCCAGGAACAGAGGTTGGGTGGGTGACATTTTACACTACTGCTAATAATAATAATAATAATAGTAACAACAACAGCAGCAGCAACAACAATCCATTCATTCCACAAATGTTGAGTGTTTACTTTGTGCCAACACCTGTTCTAGGAACCTGAGACACAGCAGGGAGCCTTTCTTGCAGAGCTCAGTCCCCTCTAGCTGGGGAAGGCAGAGATAAAATGATGAGTAAGTAACTTGTAAGAAGGTGATAAGTACACTAGAAAACAAATCAAGGTAGGGTTATGGGGTGTAGGGTAGGTTGTGATTTTATTTAAATTTTTAAAGATTTATTTATTTGAGAGAGAGAATGAGAGAGAGAGAGCATGAGAGGGGGGAGGGTCAGAGGGAGAAGCAGACTCCCTGCTGACAGCAGGGAGCCCGATATGGGACTTGATCCTGGGACTCCAGGATCATGACCTGAGCCGAAGGCAGTTGCCTAACCAACTGAGCCACCCAGGCGCCCCATAAAATACAACTTTAGTTGAGGTGTACCTTTATACAAGTTGGTACTGGAAAGAGACAGCTTAGCCAACTGAGAGCTGATGTCCAGCTACCAGTGCAAAAGTAAAAGTCTCGTGTTGCTAGAACATACTGCTAGGGAACAGGGGAGCTGGTGTTGATGGGCAAGATGTTCTTTATGGGGCTGCTATATGACTTTCACCGTTGCCTGTAAGTATTACCTTTACGGATATCCCTGATGACCATTTTTATTCAACATATTACTGGAAGTCCTAGCCACAGCAATCAGACAAGAAAAAGAAATAAAAGTCATCCAAATTAGTAAGGAAGAAGTAAAACATTCACTATTTGCAGATGACATAATACTATATATAGAAAACCCTCAAGACTCCATCAAAAAACTACAAGAACTGACAAATTAATTCAGTAAAGTCACAGGATACAAAATCAATATACAGAAATCCATTGCATTTCTATACATGAATAATGAAATAGCAGAAAGAGAAATTAAGAAAACAATTCCATTTACAATTGCACCAAAAATAACAGTATACCTAGGAATAAACTTAACCAACTTAACCTGGCCTCTGAAAACCATAAAACATTGATGAAAGAAATTGAAGACAACAGAAAGAAATGGAAGACATTCCAGGGGTGCCTGGGTGGCTCAGTCATTAAGCGTCTGCCTTTGGTTCAGGTCATGATCCCAGGGTCCTGGGATCGAGCCCCACGTCAGGCTCCCTGCTCGGCGGGAAGCCTGCTTCTCCCTCTCCCACTCCCCCTGCTTGTGTTCCCTCTCTCGCTTTGTCTGCCTCTGTCAAATAA